TCCCAGTGGTAAGATTCTGCGTCGGATGCTTCGCGATCAAGAGAAGGAGGCAAGGAGAAAGGCTGGTTCCAAGCTGTAGGCATGCTTATAGTTTGGCATACTGTGCGAGAGTACGCTTCAGAATACTTGGTCCCAGCGCGTTCCTTCCTATGGATATAAACAGTTCATATAATAGATAAGATTTCATTTACCAGAATGTCCTTCAGATAAGATACAAACAGTAGATGGGATGTGACCCCCTTGAGCGGATGTTTGCTGCGTTTGCATCCATCGCGGGGAAAGAATCGAATTTCTAAGCGGGGGTTGATCGGGAAGATTGATCAGCACCGAAAAAAAATAATACTCATTCTTCGGACGGCGCCCTCTGTCGTTCCTTCACATTTCTTTTCAATAATTTCAAATCGGACAGTCGCAAGCTGGCCCTCACCTGAAACTTCCTTTCAAACACATCCATCACCAAAAACAACACATCCCCTGCACTCGGTGCAACCCCGCAGTTCATATTTACATCACCATGTCGTCGCAAGATCCTCACCGCGCCGACGACGACGCCTACGTTGATGCCGATGAAGCCGATGAGGTTATCAACCGCGATGAGGACCACCCCATGGAGTCTGATGGCGAAGATGAGGATGGCGATCAGCCCATGAGCTACGAAGAACAAGAAATCACCCTGCAAAATGACTCCGCCGCCCATTTCGATAGCCACAACGACTCCGTTTTCTGCATTGCTCAGCACCCCATCCACAACAACATTGTTATCACTGGCTCCGGAGACGATACCGCTTATATCTTCGATTCGACGCCGAACGATGAGCGCCCCGTCCTTCCCCGCAGCTACGAGTCGGACCCGCAACCCAGGCGCGAGCGGGATTCTCTCCAGCCCCTCCTCAAGCTTGATGGCCACTCCGACACCGTGAACGCCGTCGCATTCTCAGAACCCAAGGGCGAGTTCGTTATCACGGCAGGAATGGACGGCAAGCTGCGTGCTTACCGCGACACTACCCCCCAGGGAACCGGGCTCGCATGGCAGTTCCTCGCGGAGGTTCAAGAAGTGGAGGAGATCAATTGGGTTGCTGTCTGCCCTTGCGAGAAGGGCAACGAGGAGAAGAGCAACATCATTGCTCTGGGTGCCAATGACGGTAGCGCTTGGGTGTTCCGCATCGACCCCCGGGACGCGGCTGCTCCCATCTCCATCATTCAGTCTTTCTTCCAACACACCGGATCCTGCACTGCGGGTGCCTGGACTCCCGATGGAAAGCTGCTGGCGACCGTCTCCGAGGACGGTAGCTTCTACGTCTACGATGTCTTTGGCGACGCTGCCGCCGCTGGCGTCTCTTACTCCCCGGGTACTAGCGCTGTTGTCGGTCTGACTGCGGAGGACCAGCGCTTCGCCGTCGAGGGTGGTCTGTACTCTATCGCCATCTCCCCTGGTGGTGCTATTGCTGCTGTTGGTGGTGCCGAGGGCAACATCAAGGTGGTCGGTCTTCCCCGTTTGGCGCCGGCTGGCGGCGCTGCTGCTTCCAAGGCGAAGGGCAAGGGTGCTGCTTCACAGGCGACTGCCTCCGCTGCAGGCACTCTCCTTGCCTCTCTCCAGGCTCAGAGCGACGGTGTTGAAACTCTCTCTTTCTCTTCCCCTCCCCTGACTCTTCTTGCGGCTGGCTCTGTGGATGGCTCGATTGCCCTGTTCGACGCTGCCCATCGCTTCGCCGTCCGCCGTCACATCAAGGAAGCGCACGAGGGCGCCGTGGTTAAGGTTGAGTTCCTGCAGAGCCGTGCTCCTGCCACCCCCTTGCCTCGTCCCAGCCCGCTGGCAGCCGCGACGGCCGGCCAAGGCCAACCATGGCTGCTCACCTCCGTGGGTATGGATGGTATTGTCAGACGCTGGGATGCCCGTGGTGGAACTGCCGCTGCTGCCCAGGGTTTGTTGAAGGAGTGGAAGGGCCACTTGGGTCTTGTTGAGAACTCGGAGGGTGAACAATCCGGCGGTATCATGGGCTTTGTGCAGAGCTCAGATGGTAAGCGGGTTGTTACCGCCGGTGATGACGGTATTTCTCTGGTATTTGAGGGGTAAACTCTTCATGATGATTAGACCAAAAAGCCTGTATAGATGCGGGTTTCCGAGATATCGGCGTATTAATGCAATTTATGACCCTGTTTAGTTCTCACTTGATCAACAGTTTCCTGGCTGGCATTATGATATATAGCAAGCAGTACTATTGCTGGTAGTTCATAGTTTAGTTAATCGCTATGCTGAGTAATGTCGAATACCTACACAGCCTAACTTCCATAATGTTTGAACAAAATGCACTTGATGTGATAAATAACAGTTACTATGTACACCCGACAAATGAAACAACCCAAGCGCCGTCTGTAGAGAGCTAAGGGTCATTCATGATAATGAGACAAAAAATCTATCCCAATCGAATCGACAATCCCTTCTCCCGCTTGTACACCACACATTGTGACCCTCTAATCACGTACGGATGCCATTGATCTCGGCAATCCGGGGTATCCTTCATCTTTTTTCCATCGCATGTCGGCTTCTTTCTTCCAACTCCGCACTTATGCTCCCCTTGGTCGTGATTTAGTGGTGGTCCTCGCCGTGATGGTGGTGGTCATCCTTCAGGAAGAAGTGCTCGTAGGCGCAGTAACCGGCGAAAGCAACGCTGGCAATGCCGAAGCCAGGGAAGATGCGCTTGAAACGGTTGATGCGGCTGAAGGGACCGGTGTATCTCCAGGCCTCGCTGGGTAAACTGTCAGTAACAACACGTAATTCTTGAATCGGCGGTGGATGTATCGTACTAGCGAGCCCAGGGGTCCTTCTTGGCCCAGGCCGACCGGGGGTGGGCGGCGGCCTTGAATTCGTTGATGTCAAATCCGGTGGGGTTGGGAGCCATGGTGAGCGGATTGGCGGTGGATGAGGGGGTGAGTTGGTGGTGACTTAAACGGCGGATCGAGTATTCAAAAAAAAAATGAGACCGAGATCCGCAGGGTCCGGACAGACAATGGACGGGAAACCGGGGGGTGGTAGCGCGAGAATAAGGACAGGCGGAAACAGAGGAAGTTGAAGCTGTACGGAAACGAGGGAGTTCGAGCGAGGACTGGGGGCTTGGCGCACTAGTCCGGATCCAGCAACCGCAGCTGTCCGCCTTCTTCGCCGGCGAGGATGAGCCCGTCCGTCCCAGAGCCCAGCGCGAAAAGAGCCGACCGACCCCCCTCCCACTTCGCTTCAACTCATCGTTCATCCCAATCTCAGATGCGTGACGGTTGATCAGCTCTCTCATCGCTGCCTTTCAACATGCCCCCTCCCGTCGGCCGATACGGGCCTACTGGCCTAACAGCTTCCTATACCCACCTACAGCAAGCCCATCTCCAGCAACAGCAGCAAGCCCAACATCACCCGGCCCATGCCCAGTCGGCCAACTCAGCCCTCCCTCCTCCATCTCTCGGTGGTCACCCCGGTTTTGCCGCCGGAAACCCGAACACAAATATCAATCCGTTTACTCTGTCCGGCACCGGTATCGCAAATGGTATGTCTGTCGCAGGGTTCGCGAGTGCCGGGGATGGAGGCGGCACCGGACTCGCCAGCCACGCCGCCCAGATGGGCTTCGCACGAGGCGCACAGATGCAACAGCAGCAATTACATCAGACTCACGATGGCCGACTGGCGCTCGAGGCGAAGGCCGGTACGGTGAAGACGCGGATACGTGACGTATGGAGCCACAATCTGGCTCAGGAAATGGCCATCCTGCGACAGTTCGTCGAGAAGTATCCCTACATCAGCATGGTAAGATGCAGCTAGCTGTGGAGCTGGGAAATTTTGAAGTTGCTCGGCTCCTTCTACTGGGAGATGAGGGTCGCTAACAAAAGCCCAGGACACCGAGTTCCCCGGTATCGTCGCACGTCCAATGGGAGCGTTCACGAATAAAGCAGATTACCACTATCAAACTCTCCGGTGTAACGTTGATCTCCTGAAAATGATCCAGCTTGGTATTACCTTGTTTTCTGCCGAAGGCGAGGTACCCCCGCCCAACGCTACGGATGCGAATGGACAGCCTCTCGGAAACAGCCTCGTCCCTGCGCCGTGCACATGGCAGTTCAACTTCCGGTTTTCGTTAGAGGAAGATATGTACGCACAAGAGTCGACGGCGATGCTGGCCAAGGCGGGTATCGATTTCTCTATGCATGAGAAGAACGGAATCGACCCCTTTGAGTTCGGTGCTCTTCTGATCAGCTCGGGGCTCGTTCTTTTGGAAGATGTCCATTGGGTCTCTTTCCATTCGGGTTATGATTTCGGATACCTCATGAAGATTATGCTCTGCAAACCTCTTCCCGAGAACGAAGAGGAATTCCACAAACTCCTCAAAATCTTCTTCCCGTCGCTGTATGATATCAAATATTTGATGAAACATGCAGGACGCAATCAGGCTGTAAACGACTCTCCGTTAACGCCAGCCGCTGCTCAAATCCTCACTAATCTCGGACAGAAGTCGGGTCTACAAGACATTGCGGATGAGCTCGGTGTCAAGCGCGTCGGCATCGCTCATCAGGCAGGGTCGGACTCTCTCGTGACGGGTGAGATCTACTGGAAGATGCGCCAACTCGTCTTCAACGGCAGCATCGACGAGTCGAAATACTCGGGTCAGATTTGGGGCTTGAACGGTCAGATGCCGGCTTTGCTGTACCACATGCAGCCACATCAGACTCCCAATCTTAACGGCGCCACAATCTACTCGGCTACCGGCACGCCAAGCACCCCCAATGCCGGTCATCTGGGCAGCCAAACCCCCCATACGATGACACCTGGTGCCACTGGCGGCGTCCTGGGGCAATTCCAGCTTGCCAAGTCATGAGGCTCATCGGTTCATCTGGCTGTCTTGGTATTATCTCCTTTCAATATTTGGTGTTAGGTCAGGCTCGGGGAGTTCGAGATATTGTCTACTTTTAGGTACATTTTCCCTGACTCTTTGCTCTCTTGCTTGTATAGGCTCCTACTCCTGACCGGTTGGATCTGGCAACAGCACCCGGATCCACGGTCACTTTTCTCCATTGAACCTTAGCCGGCGGTTCTGATTACTTTTTTCACCTGTTTGTCATGTTGCTTTCGGCAGAGATGGCAAGGAATCTATATGATGTGATGGATGTACATAGCATGTGGCATCGGTTGTGTTTCTTGGTGCATTGTCTTGTTTGCTAGTGTGTGTTTTCTGTTTTTTTTCGGTCCGTTTCAAGGAGTTCATCGCCTGCAGTGCCTTCGCATTGCCTTGGAGGTGGGTGTTTGCAATAGGTGTATGGTGTTCGTCTCCGGCTGGAATGTGATCTACGTCAAGCATTATTTCGTTAAGCGTCCGGGGTTTACCACTCCATTCGTTTCTATCCCCGTAGGTAGAACTGGTTGGGAATCTACTTTGCCTCTTATGATAGACATGTTAATAATCAGCATTATCAAACTATCTTGTTAGTAGATCAGACCCACTTAACCCTTCGTGGCTCAATGACAGCCTGGCAGTGATGCAGAACGCGTTGTATTACCCCGTCCGCGATCGGTCTGCTGATCTTGCATCGGGAGGGGGGACTCGAACCAAGACTGTCCATCCCTTGATGAGACTGATAGGGGCAACCACATCCGACGCCTAGATCGGACCCTTCCAGGCCGACGCTCGGGTCAGTCTGCGAATCCGGGGTAGCCTATCTCACCGGTAGTCGTAGACAAGGTTCCGATTGCCGCTTTGAGTCGCAGCGGAGAAGCAGGGGGCACTAGACCGCTTCGGGGCAAGGAATCCGGGCGTGCTTATCGAGGCGTATCTTATCGGTGGTGCAGCGGTCGTGCTGTACAATCATATCCTCCTCTGGCAATGCGCTCGCTGCTTATAAGGTGGGTGGTCCCCTCAGTGTCGACTATGGTTTCACACAGTCTGGGTGGTAACATCACTTTACTTCTTCATTTCTTGTCCTACCGTACAACTGGCCAGGTCGCCGGTTTATTTTCCAACTGAGGAAAAACATATACTTCTATCTCTCCCATACTTAGGTTCTACCGCACACCAAGGACTCACTTTGTCGAGAGATCATCCCGAGCGCTTGCATTACACCGCTCCTTCATCATGGTTCTTGAACGCCTTCAACAGCTGACCCACCAGGTCCAAGCTACTTCACCCCCTCCTCACCCTTTGGACCCTCTCTCGACGGTGGAAATCGACGCCGCTGTCGCCATTATTCGCAAGGAATATGGCAAGGTCAACTTCAACGCGGTCACTCTGTATGAGCCCCGCAAGGCGGAGATGATGGCATGGCTGGAGAACCCGCAGAAGACTCCCCGTCCCACTCGTGCGGCCGACGTCGTTGCCATTGCACCAGGCGGCAAGGTCTACGATGGCATCGTCGACCTTGATGAGAAGAAGATCGTGAGATGGGAACACACGCCTGGCGTGCAACCCCTGATCACCATGGAAGATTTGCAGGAGGTCGAGTCGATTGTTCGCAAGGACCCCAAGGTCATTGAGCAGTGTGCGATCATCGGCATTCCGAAGGAGGATATGTACAAGGTTTACTGTGATCGTAAGTTGTCGTCGTACAACAGGTTGTGACTTGCAAGATGCTAATTAATCTACAGCCTGGACCATCGGGTACGACGAGCGCTTTGGCAATGGTGTCCGTTTGCAGCAGGCTCTCATGTACTACCGTCCCCACGTTGACGATTCTCAATACACCTTTCCTCTGGACTTCTGCCCTATCTTCAACGCGGAGACCAAGCAGGTCATTCACATCGATATCCCGCCGGTGCGGAGGCCCATCAGCAAGGCGCCTCCCAACAACTATCACCCCGCATCGATTGAGACAGAGGGCGGCTACCGGACAGATATCAAGCCCATTCACATCACGCAGCCAGAGGGCGTTTCTTTCGGTATCAACGGACGTACCATCGACTGGCAGAAGTGGAACATCCACGTTGGTTTCAACTACCGTGAGGGTATCGTCTTGAACAACATCACCTTTAATGACAATGGAAATGTGCGTCCTGTGTTCTACCGTCTGTCTCTTGCGGAGATGGTCGTCCCCTATGGAAACCCTGAGCACCCTCATCAGCGCAAGCACGCTTTCGACTTGGGAGAGTATGGTGGTGGCTACATGACCAACAGTCTATCCCTCGGCTGTGACTGCAAGGGTGCTATCCACTACATGGATGCTGCTTTTGTCAACCGCGCAGGTGCTAGCACCATCGTCAAGAACGCCATCTGCATTCACGAAGAAGACGCCGGCATTCTCTTCAAACACACCGACTTCCGCGACGAGTCTGTGATTGTAACCCGTGGTCGGAAGCTAATTATCTCCCACATCTTCACTGCCGCCAACTACGAGTACTGCGTCTACTGGATCTTCCACCAGGATGGCACTATCCAGCTTGATATCAAACTTACCGGTATCCTGAACACCTATGCCATGAACCCCGGCGAGGACACCAAGGGCTGGGGCACTGAAGTTTACCCTGGCGTCAACGCACACAACCACCAGCACCTCTTCTGTCTGCGTGTGGACGCCAACGTCGACGGACCTAACAACACCGTTTTCCAAGTCGACGCAACTCGCAGTGAAGCCGAGGTTAGAAGTGCAGAGAACCCGTACGGAAACGCATTCTACGCCAAGAAGACGAAGTTCACTACGCCTCTCGAAGCAATGTCCGACTACGACGGCAACACGTCCAGAACCTGGGAGATTGCCAACACCAACAAGCTGAACCCCCACAGCAAGAAGCCCGTCTGCTACAAGCTAGTCAGCCGTGAAGTACCTCCCTTGCTTCCCAAGGCAGGTAGTTTGGTCTGGAAGCGAGCTGGATTCGCTAGACATGCTGTGCATGTCACTAAGTGTAAGTGCCTACCATGACTTTTCCAGTTTGAACTGCTTCACTAATTTCTAAATAAAGACTCCGATGACCAAATTCACCCTGCCGGTCGCCACGTACCCCAGACCTCGGGTGAACCATCCCAGGGTCTGCCAGCCTGGATTGAAGCCGCTGGTCCGAACTCCTCGATCGACAACACGGACGTCGTCCTATGGCACACGTTTGGCCTTACGCACTTCCCTTCCCCTGAAGACTACCCCATCATGCCTGCTGAGCCAATGACTTTGCTTCTCCGTCCGAGACACTTCTTCGCAAGGAACCCTGCCTTGGATGTTCCTCCTAGTTTTGCTCGCACGCCGTCGCAGGTTGCTGCTGGTGCTGGAGCATGCTCTTCTTGTAAGAAGAGTGATGGATCTAGTGTTCAGGTCTAGTTTGCATGTATCCATTTTTTCTTTCTTCTCTTCCCTCTTTGTGAAGGTATCTTTAAATGATTCCCATCATGGCTTTTGTTTTACTAGCATTTAGTTAGCCTTTGGAATAGGAATTTCTGAATTCATTTGCCTTGTAGTGGATTGACCTGTAGATTCCTTCCCAGTAAGTAACTTGATTGCCGCCCGCTTATTTTCTTGGTTGACCTGAATATGGAAGTCCTACAACTGGTAGAGCATATATCAAATCCGTACAGATTGCCTTTCCCACAACATTGTATTTCATGACAAATCTTACACAAGTTTCCCTTTTCATTGCTAAACCAGATGTGAATTGGCGAACGACCCAACTGTGAAGCTTGCTTGGCCACTTCGTACCCTTGCAATAGTGACGCAGCAGTATTAACGGACACCAGGTCCCGATTCACGCTGGTAGATTATTTTATGGAAATCTCCGAATAACAAATAATAAATAACAAAATCTGCTGCCTTGACACAAATGCTTACCTCTTCACTGATTCCCTTTCCTAAATTACCTGGTACTGTTATATTTGTCTATATACTTGAGAGCTACTTGGCCCATGGCCAGGTACCGGGCCATGCTTCCCTTGAACTGTGGCCATGGGAGTGCATCACATGGTGAAATTATGTGCACTCACTGCAACTTTTACCTTACGATTCCCTGTGCTCAGTGATTCTATACACGTCGCGTATTGTATGAAGGTGGTCCTTCACCAGCCGCTTCACATTCATGGCTGTTAATTACATCAGCTGATTCTCGCCCTGCCTTTTCTATAAGATGCTCGCTTCTCCTCTCCCTCTCTTCCTCTTTCTCCTCACCTCTTTCATCCTCACATTTCCATCAGCATCATCAACATATATACTTATCTCCATCTTCTATATACCTCATGGCACCATCGACACAAGCACCATCCTGCAAACGTCTTCCTCTTTGTTATCCTGGACCTCCTACTTTTCCTCTTCAATGTTGGACTTCTCTACCGTGTGCTGGAATACTCCCTGTTCCATGCTACTTAAAGGGTCCAATATATCCCGCCATGCAAGTCACCACGTCATTCCTACTCCGTGAAGGGACCTATATCCATTCTTAATCTTCTCACGATATCGCGGACCTTCGAATACTCTCTGTTGATCATTCCAATATAACGCTCTCCCTAGCTTTCTCGCTCTAATCTGCCAGGAAAACTGCTATAGCTGCGATGCTCAACTTCCAATGGCGTCAAGACCAGAGCACCATCGAGCTACTTGGTCATGGTCGATGCGTGCTTCAATGACACCTTCATGATGCTTGTATCACATTGTCGATGACATCTTGGCCGTGATAGCTGACATGTGTCATGCTGCATGTCACCCGTAGCGCTTGCAGGATGGAGAGGATGAATATATACCCATCAATCGGCGTGATGGTGCGGTCGCCAGGTCCACGGAGACAAGCTATGCCGGTAGCTTTGAGCTTCGGCTGTTGCGATGGGATTCGCTTGATTGAGGGCCTCGCCCTGAATCACTCACTTAGTTTCGAGTTACAAACTATCACAACGATTCAGTGATCTTCGGCGAGAGACCAATATACACATAGCTGTCGGGGGAACACTCAGACGTTTGATGAACGCGAGCAGGGCATACTGAGGCTTTACTCATTCTATATCTCCCCAACGCAATGGCATACGAAGCCCAAAAAAGACGCAACGCATCTTGCCACCTCCGTGTCTCTATATCACGAGGGAAGATCATCACGGCAGGGTCTAGCACAAGACCATTTTCCCATGTTCTCTATCTATCTATCTTTGATAATGTTGTCACTGCTAGCCAACGGCGCTGTTGCTACAACTGCACCTTGGTGCTCCCACAAACTGTCACACTACCGGCTCTTTGCGGAAGACTTTACTCCATCTACTCGTGGGTTTGGATTAACCAAGAAATCCATAGTGAGCCCAGTTTATGTTGGCTGCCAGCTACGCTATTGATATCTATAATTCATCTTCAGCACTCCTCAGCGCCCATCAGTCACTCCAATCAGGGTGTCGAACACATGGGCTGACCTCCTATACGACTACACCCACAATCCTATCTTTCTACTTGCTTCACCTTTTCTCTCCCACCTTCCGTATTACTTCCCATTCTACCTTACCTCACTTCCCCATCTCATAATTCCATCCCATCACCCGTCATACATCACTTACTCTACATCCCCCAGTCCCCAATTCCTCTCGCTGTCTCGCATCTTACCTTCTTCATTGCTTTTTTTACCTTTCCGATCTTCTTTCTGTCAGAACAT